GCGCCAGGCGGCTTGGCCCGGGCCGGGGAGTTCTAGAAGCAGGGCTGAGCCTGCTCCTCCCCAGCCCTGCCAGAGCAAGGAGCCCCCGGCCGGGTTCTCAGCACCCAGGGAAATCCCGGCAGGGCACTTGCGGCTCAGAGCCAGACACCATGGAGGCGAGGGGCCTGCGCAAGTCCAAGCACAGAGCTCTCCCTGGCCCTGGAGGAGAGAGACCGAGCTGCCCGAGCCAAGCGGCACAGCCTCTGCCCTCGCTCCCCTCCGGGCGGGCCCGGGGCAAGGAGGCGTCTGCCGTCCCTGGAAGCAGCTAGAGCCACCTCCTTCCCTGTCCCCGGGGGCCGGCTGGCGGGGCAGCACTGGAGGACACCTGGGCCACGGCCACGGCCCGCTGTGCTCCCAGCCGCCCGCGCACACCGGCCTCCCAGAGGCGCCCCTTGGGGACACTGCAGCAGCACGGCAGAGACCAGAGCGGCCGCAGCTCAGCTCCGCGCGGAGGGGCGGGGCGGGAGCAAAGCCCCCGAGACGGCAGCGGGATGGCTAGCCACGGCCAGGGGCTCGCGGGCGGGGAGAAAGGGAGAGGAAAGGCTCAAGCGCTGCAACCAGCCCCGGCCCTGGAGCAGCAAGGCCGAGCACGACCAGCACCGTCCCCACCTCCAGAGACTTCTCTGTGCTGCTCAGGTGCCAGGGCCAAGTAGGACGGCTGGCTGGGCACGGGAGCCAAGCAGCGGGCGACAGCTCCCAGTGGCAGCGCTCAGCCTAGTCCCTCCTACCTGGAGCCCCCTGAGCTCAAGCGCTGCAACCAGCCCCGGCCCTGGAGCAGCAAGGCCGAGCACGACCAGCACCGTCCCCACCTCCAGAGACTTCTCTGTGCTGCTCAGGTGCCAGGGCCAAGTAGGACGGCTGGCTGGGCACGGGAGCCAAGCAGCGGGCGACAGCTCCCAGTGGCAGCGCTCAGCCTAGTCCCTCCTACCTGGAGCCCCCTGATGAGCAGAGTGCCCACTTCTAGGCTGTGTTTCTTCGGGTGGTGCACATTCACACATGCCTCGGTGCACACACAATTATTCCGCACATGGCTGGGAAAGATTAAAGGGAGCGTTGCTCCTGACCCTCCCTGCCAACCGAAACCGCACAGCACACGGTAAAAGGGCTGCAGGAGTCAGAGGACTGGCCGGGCTCATGCCCGGGGGCTGGCTGGGAACAGGCTGCTGCAGAGGCCGGTGTTTCAGTGCGCTGTGCACGAGCGAATCAGAGAGCAGAGTAGGCGTCCGGCCAGCTCCCTGGGCCACCTGTGCCGGCACTGGGTTCGGAGACGCTCCCAGAGGCCCTGTCCTGCTCCCACTGCAGCCAATGGGAGTTTGGCCCTGGCTTCCAATGGAGAACCCAGCCCCGAAGGTGAGACGACCTCCAGGGTTCCCACGGCCCAGCTCACGGCTTCACCCGCGGCGCAGAGCGAGCGCTGCCGAGTCCACGCCCGAGATGCACAGGAAGTGAGCGTGGTGCAGCCAGCGTTACCATGGCAACCTTTCTTCTCTGACTTGCCTGCTTTGGGGCAATTTCAGAAGGAAAACTGAATCCCGTCCCCTTTGGCTTTGCTGTTCGGGAAGCAGCGCCAGACGGAAGCGGCTCCGCTTCGTAGCGTCAGGTCGAGCGCGCTCCCCTCCAAAGCCCCAGGACAGTGCCCGGCGGGTGCCTCCTCCTCGCCCTCTATCTCCAGGGTCAGGCCGAAGGAGACCAGATCGGTCACGGTTACAGCACCCGCGCCAGCCGACCGGCCCGCGTCCCAGCGCAGACGGGCCGAGATCGAGACCAGGAAGCAGGAAACAATGGAGCTGGGAGGTTCCCACCGAACTGGTTCTCCTCCTTCGCCAGGGCGCTCGCTGCTCTCCCAGCAGCCTCACGCCGGAGCCCCTCTGATCGGACGCCCAGCCCCGTGTTCGGAACGGGAGATGCCAAAAGGCGGCGGGACAGAAGCAGCCAGCCTTCCGGGAGGCCCATCTCTGCAGCTGCCCTGCATGGGGCTCCCCCAGAGGGGGAATCCGCAACGCGGCACGTCTGCGCCCCTTGGCCCTCTGGCCAGCCTCCCCACTGGTGGGCCCCCAGGGGCCTCTCTCCAGACTTCATCTGCCGACTGCCCTCACAACCCTCGTCCATCCCTCCCCCGGCTGCCGGGCGAGCGGAGCCCACGTGAGTCAGACAAGACCATCCTGGCTGGTGCTGCCGGAAATTTGGCTGCTGAGGTTTTTCCAAATATTTACAGTGGGAAAGGAATTCGCATTTTCTCATCCGGTCCTAGCTGCATGGGCCTGCCTCGCCAGCCCCCGGCTCCCGCTCACGGGTCCCTCGAACCGGGCAGGGGTGCTGCAGGCGCCGCTTCCCCTCTGCTG